GCCATTCCACTCACCCCTCATCTTGCAATTCTCTTTGCTCTTACAGTCTTGGTCCCTCCCACAATGGTTACGACCCCTCACTCCAGTCCTAGAGCCCACATTCAGTCTTGCCAATGCATCTGATTACTAACATGCAGGCTTCTCCCTGCGGTTCTAGTTAGCATTGGGCTATCCTTGAACAGAAACTGGCAATCCTATTAAATTGTACCAACTTGTCTGATAGTCTTGTGAAGTGTGCAGGTGGGGAAGAATGTGAGAGCAAAGTCAACTTCACATTAGACCTTTCCAGTTTTTGCAACCACATCTTCAGGAGCGAAAGGCATGTGCAGTATCCGCAGGAGCCCCAGAAAACTGCCCATTCACCAGTCAGGAAACCTTTTATCTCGATGCAGTATTTATCTGTCAGCACAGAATCCAGATGTAGTGCATGAAATGGACATTGCATTTCTTTACAGTCAAATCCCTCCTGCTCTCTGTCCATTAAACCACACTTCACACTGGGATTTCTGTTCTTTAAATATATTATAATCTGTTTGTTATTGTGGCCTCTGTTGCATGGCACTTCTCTGAAGGCTAAAAGATATAAGGAGCCTCCACAGCCTCAGTCTCTTCTCCTCTTAAGATAAAGTTCACTGCCACTTGTGGTGGGTACATCTGTCTAGTTAGAACTGGACTGAGAGCCCATCTCATTTGAGGGGAAGCAGGGTGGCAGAGGAAGGAACAAGGAAAGAGTCTGGGGTGGAGGCATGTGTACAGCAAGAGCTGGGTTCTCTTCCTAGCCCTGCTGCAGACCCACTATATGACTTTGGTAGCTCAGGCAATCTATCTGTGCCTCTCTCCCTACTCATAAAATGGAGATAATGACAATTACCTGCCTTGCAGCAAGGTGGTAAACAGCTTTGATGGCCTGAAAGGGAAGGTGCCTTCAAAGTGGAAAGTTCCATACAAACCATTTAACCAAATAGCCACCAGAGGGTACGTCTACACTGCAACATTATTTCGAAATAACTAGCGTTATTCTGAAATAACAGTCCACATCTACACAGCAGGCAGTTACTTTGAAAGTGTCAAAATACTGTCAAGCTGGAGGACTTCTTACTGATTTCTGTAACCCTCATTGTATGAGGAATAAGGGAAGTCAGAGGAAGAGTGCTCGGTTTCAAAATAAGTGCTGTGCAGATGCTCCCTATTTCGAGGTAAGGTATGCAATTGTTATAACTCAATTTGTGTAGCTGATTTTGAGTTAAGCCCTGATGTGTGGACACACCCATAGAGAAACAATATCCTATTCCGCTGAGCTGTGCTAGATGAGTAGTGCTTTATTCTGGTGCCAGTCCTTCATACCATCCTCTTCCCTAGGCACAGTTCTGTTTTTTTATGGGTGTGTCCTACATTTTGCAACCCTGGGGCTTATATAGGACTAAACAGTCCAATTTTATCATAAAAGAATAACGGCAAAGGTGCCCCCGAGATCTTGACTAGGACCAGTGTTTTTCCAGATACAGACGCTCTCTGAGTTACGAACGAGTTACGGACCAACACATGGCTACAAATTATATAAATAATTGGATAGATGATGATTATACTTTACATATTCAGTGCCGTACATTAATAGAAATCAATAGTATGGTGTTTCCTGGAATGTAGCATTTAGTTCCAGTCTCTTCATCTCTAAAAGGCAGAACAGAAACATGGCAGTTCAGAAACAGTGAGAAGAGGTTTGAGGAGATTTGAGTATGACGAGAGAGTGAAAAGATTGGGATTGGTTAGTTTAAAGATTTGGTGAATAAAGGAAGACATGATAGAGGTCTACAAAATGAATAGTTTAGAGAAAATACTTTGGGTGCTTCTGTTTGCTATGTCTTATAAGCCGGGAACAGCCCAGGACATTGAAAGGCAATTGTCATAAAACTGATACTGCAAAATTGCAAAAACTCTAATGCAGGTAACAAGTGAAACTCTGTTGCAAGGTACTCCTGGGGACATAAATTGACAAGGTTTAAAAAAAAAAATCAAGCATTTATATAAGTAATGAGATTAAGCCTGGGTGCATTGGCTGGATACAAACCCTTATGTTTCAGTGTATCAAACAACCACTAACTGGTAGGATGGTGGTGAGAAGAAACCAGGTCATCCTATAATTACTCACTTTGCAGTTTTTTGCACCTTCTTCTGGAACGTACAGTGCTGACCATGGTCATAAAGAGGATACTGGATGGGTCACCGGTCTGATCCTTTCTGGCAAACTCTGTAAGACATAGGATGGCCTGGTATGTGGGTGCTTTGCTTGGGCATAGGAGTGCTGCGTTCCTTTCCCTGTTTTGTTGCAGGCTCGCTGTCTGACTTTGGGTAAGTCTTAGTCTTTTTGTGCCTCTGTTCCCCATTTATAAAATGGGCAGACTACCCACCTTACAAGAGTGTTGAGGCTAAAGAAAGACTGTTAGGGACACAGACATTGTGGTATAGGAGGCCAGCTGTACCTGAGACAGAGAGAGGCAGGTTGATGTTAATAAGTAAAGAGTTCTGAATTTATTTTAGGCTGTGTGACATTACGAGACTGTCAGTATGTGGGATGGAGAAGCAGCATCAACATTTTGATGTGAAGATGCACATGTCCTATATTTAGCCCCAAATGAATCCACAGCCTCACACTGTCAAGACATCTGCTCAAGCAGCTGCACAGAAATGATTAATATAGACATATGTGTGTGTCTCTGTGTGGACGCTTTCATCTCATTGGCTGATGTGCCTCGCTAATGCTTGTTTTGGACTGGCTTCTCCTCCTCCCCTGCCATGCTGATGCTCTTCTCTGGTTGGCTGGCTGGTTCCCCCATGCTGATGCTTGTATTTTCTCCTTCCCAGGGACTGCATTGCCCTATGTTTTCTCAACAGTGGTACGAGTTTTGTGGCTGGCTTTGCAATCTTTTCCATCTTGGGCTTTATGGCACAGGAACAAGGTGTGCCTATTTCTGAGGTAGCTGAGTCAGGTGAGTAGGCTCGGTGTGCAGGAAGAGCAGAGTGCAGGGTAGGATGGGCTGTTGCTAATGTGGGGAAATCTCTGGCCACCTGCCACTGACCTTGGACTCCTTTTGTGCATTGCCTCTGAGAGCAGGACAGAGAACACAGAGAGAGAGAGGTGTGTCCCAAAGTTGCTGTGCTAACCCCCTAAGATGCATAATGGGCTACGATGAAACTAGATTAATTGCAACCCCAGGTTCAAATCCCAGAAGGTCAATTCACCTCTTCTGAGGCAGATAAACGTAGACCCATGGCGGTTCGTGTGTGTGGCTCTTTGGCATGAAACTCTAAGATCTGAGTTTGCTTTGTATGGACATTAGGAATCTGCCAGCTCCCAGTCCTAGGCAAGGAGGTGGAGGCCATTGCCTGGTAGGTCCCTGCTAGGCTCCCGAACCTGGCAGTACAGCTATAGCTTGCAGTGGTTCTTCTGATCTTTCTCTCCCAGCAATGGAGCCACTGGTTCTTGAATGCTGGTTCCCAGTGCCCACAGTGAATGCACTGGAGAAGGTGAAGTGTGTCTTGCTGGGGAGTCGGTGACATAGACCAGCTCTGAGCTCCTAGTCTCCCTGATTCTGCTTTGGTGACCTCTTCCTCACTGCCTGGCAGGGCAATGGTGCAGCTGATGACTTCTAGATTTGGCCCCTGCCATCTACTATAAATGACCCTCTTCTCACAGGGCCTGGCCTGGCATTTATTGCATATCCTCGAGCTGTCGTCATGCTGCCTTTCTCCCCACTCTGGGCCTGCTTCTTCTTCCTGATGGTGGTTCTGCTGGGACTAGATAGCCAGGTATGGATGAGACAGGAGTACTTCCTTCCTGACCCCACAATCTGTGGGGTTTTCTCGGCATGTCTTCCCTTCAAACTGCCAGCCAATGCATTCCCCTTGATAAATGGCCAGGTGGTGAGGAAAAGACCCGGGTACAAATTCGGAGGTAGCAAAGCACTTTATTCCCCTGTCTGGACAGAGTATAATGCCCCCTGCAACCAGTCAGCTCTCCTTTAGTCTAGGATGGGCTGAGACACAGAGGGGGATTCAGGCAATGTGGGTTTCATTCCCAGCACTGCTGCTGACCAGCTGTGTGATGCTGGGCCAGTCACTGCCTGTCTCTGTTCTTCCATTGCCTGTGTAGTCTATTCAGAGCAAAAACTGCCTGGCACAGGAACTCTCTCGCTATGTGTGTGTCCAGTACCTGGCACAAGGGGGCCTCAACCTCTGCTGGAGCCTCTCTGTGCTGTAATCATAATAATGTCCTATTCACTGTGAGCCGTCTCCTTGCATTCAGCATGGGGAAGAGCCAGCAGCCCGTTGTGTGGTTGTGTAGGAAGGGATCGGAGCAGATGTCCTGCGAACCATGAGACTGGTTTCCAGCAGTCCCCTCTGCAGGCAGGACTGTGGTTTTAGCAGCATCCCCTATCCTTTGGGGACTCTTGGCATAGCACCGGTGTGGATTTTAGAGCCTGGCTGCGGGAGCATGGGGGGAAAGCCACGAGCTGATTCCAGCAGCATGCCTAGTGGGGGACTGGGAAATGGCCCAGTGCTTGTTTCAGCAGCACTCCCTGAGTTACCGGCGTGAGGCATAGATGCTAGTGGAAGTTCCCCGGACAGCCCTGGCATGGCTGGGCACAGTTCTCAGTGCTGAACGTGTCTGGTCTCTCTCAGCTGAAGAAAACCTGGCTTGAGTGCACAGGCGAGCAAGAGGCTGTGGAGAGCGAAGCCCAGCTAGCTGGCTTAGTGCTGACTGGTGCATGAATTCTCTTCTTCCTAGTTCGTCTGTGTGGAGAGCCTGGTGACCGCTGTTGTCGACATGTATCCCACCATCTTCCGGAAGCAAAACCGCCGTGAGACCCTAATCCTGTTTGTCTCCATCTTCTCCTATCTTGTTGGACTGGTCATGCTCACAGAGGTACAGCCCGGAGACAGGAATCCCTCCCTCCCTCCTGTAGCTCACCGTCTGTGGGGTTTTCTTGTCATGTCTGACTGAAATCCCTCTGGGCAAAAACAGCACTCTAGCCAGAGGTCTCAAACTCCTGGCCTGCGGGCTGTTCCCAGCCAGAGAGATTATGCAATCCAGCCCGGGGCTCCCAGCATACTTGGGGGGGGGGGGCTGTCTGCTCTGCTGCTCCTTCCCAGCATTGCCCCACCCTCTCCCTGCTATGGCACCCCCTAACTGAAGACACAGTTTTGGGGATCACTGGGGTGGGGGTGCTGGCTGGCACGTTGTGGCAGCAGCAGTCATGGGCCCCTCCTCCCCTCACACTCCCCGTGACAGCAGGAGCTGCAGGGGAAGTAGAGCGCACTCCAAGGGGTGGCCCATGGTCTAGGATTTTAAGACCCCTGCTCTAAACCTCACGGCTAGATGAGGAGCCCAGCTATAGCTGTTCCTTCAAGGTCGATGTGCTTTCATAAGCTTAGCACAGTAGGGTCACAGCTCAGGTGGGAGACTGCTCAGGTGCACCCCAGATGCTCTGCCCTCTTACTTCAGTAGTGAACCAGTGTCTCAGCATGGGCGCAAGTGGGCACTTTGCTGCTGGGGTTGCCAGCCTACAGTGATGGCCTGGCCTCTGCCTGCCAGTCAGGATTCAGGGGTGCATTTTACAAGAGCTGCACTGCAGTGATGTGGCTGAATTCCAGAGCTGGGTTTTCCATTCTGCCTTGCCAAGCATTCTTTCCACTGGATATTGCAGCTTTCATTGCCTCACCTAAGCGCTGGTGGATCATTGCTCAGTGCGGGCCTGTGAGAGTGTTTGGGAGGTCAAGACTTTTCATAGTATCATGCAAACTAAGCCCAACCCTGACTCATTTGAAGGCTTTTGGAGCATCCCTTTCCTCCCTATTTGATGGGACTGATAAGTATCGGGTAGTTGACTATTCCATTAGTCAATTGGGCATCTCCGCCTTTGAAGTTGGGGCTGTTGCTACACTTCAAAGGCAAAAGCACCAAAGTCCGGGGTCAACTGGGAACTCCCCAGCTGACCCCGGGCTGGGTTCTGTGTAGCGCTGCCACTTTGCAATGTTGCGGGGAGACCTGATGCCGGGTTCCCTGTGGCATTCAAAGCGGCAGCACCTCACGGAGCAGCTGGCTCCATGTGCACTGTTGGTTTGAAGTACCCCCTTCTCCCACCCTTGCTTGCCTCTATCTGATAGACTACTAGTCGACTAGTCCTTCACATCCCTAGATGGGACCCTCATGAGCACTATGTGTACAGTGAGCTCTTGGGCCTGGTTCTGCTCTCCCGTTCTTCCATGTAAATTGTGATTACTCCCATGGAACTGAATGGAATTCAGCTGGTATAAAAACTGGCATGAGATCAGATGTGGGCCCAGATTCCCTTTTGGCAGTGGGATGGGGTAACGCCCGAGTGTGGGTTTCTCCCTCTTTGTCATCTTCTGTGTCACCTGTTTTTGAAAAGCTGCCTCTGACTTTGCACCGGCGGTGTTGTGCCCAGAACTAATTGCAGGCCTGTGTTGTAGCAGTGCCTGCAAAGCTAGGTAGTTAAGCCAAATTTGGGCCCCCAATGATTTACCTCTGCAAAAGTGCACTCTGTTCTATCTGGGTGCAAATTTGACATCCCTGTTGATTTTTTTTTTTTTTTTTTGGAAAATCAGAGATATTGGCCCATGGGGTCTCTTTTCCCATTTCACTTTCCCATAGGCCTGTGTTTTCACACTGTCCTAAAAATCCCCCTGGACAGTAACATTTCCTCTCTTGGTAATGAGAGGCTGTACAGGGAGCACAGACGGGATGTGGGGAGAACAGGGTTCCCATGGAGGCCCCCAGTGCTGATCTGGGTTTTGGCCAGTTTGGACCTACAAGGGCAGATCGTCATCAGGCTGTGGAGCAGGAAGGCACCAAAGACCTGAGCTAGTACTTTCTTCAGCTGAACAGCTTGACCTCCCTCTCTTCTCCCTGCTTTGCCCCTCCCAGGGTGGGATGTACGTCTTCCAGCTCTTTGATTACTACGCTGCCAGTGGCATGTGCCTGCTCTTTGTTGCCATCTTCGAGACGCTGTGTATCGGCTGGGTGTATGGTAAGTATGGGCCCAATGGCCAGCAGGTGTCGCGGACTCCAAATCCTTGTGCGGACTCTCATCCCCTCACTGGGGCTGGTGTCTCTGTTACTCGTGAGAGCAGCAGGCCATAGATCCTCTTGGTAAATCTGACACATTGGAGCCCTTTTCAGATAGTAACGCAACATGCCCTCATTTCAGTACCCTTAGGGTATGTCTACATTGCATTCCTCTTTCAAGAGAGGAATGCAAATGCAGACGACCAAAATCGCAACTGAAGCACGGATTTGAATTTCCCGTACTTCATTTGCATAATCATGGCCGGGCACTATTTCGAAATACCCTATTTCGAAAAAAGAAACGCTGTGTAGACGCGGTTATTTTGAAAGAAACCCCTTCTTTCTAAATAAGCCTTACTCCTTATAAAATGAGTTTGAAGGGTTATTTTGGAAGAAGGGTTTTCTTTCAAAATAACCGCGTCTACACAGCGTTTCTTTTTTCGAAATAGGGTATTTCGAAATAGTGCCCGGCCATGATTATGCAAATGAAGTACGGGAAATTCAAATCCGTGCTTCAGTTGCGATTTTGGTCGTCTGCATTTGCATTCCTCTCTCGTAAGAGGAGTGCAATGTAGACATACCCTCAGACTTGGCGAGCACTTCCTAGAAGCAGTGCCCTGTGGGAGCTGGCTGGAGAAGCTTCCTCATGGCTGTAACAAATGTTTGCATTTATCCATATTGCCCATAATGCCCCATTTCTGAACATAAGAACGGCCGTACTGGGTCAGACCAAAGGTCCATCTAGCCCAGTATCCTGTCTACCAACAGAGGCCAGCACCAGGTGCCCCAGAGAGGGTGGACCGAAGACACTGATCAAGCAATTTGTCTCCTGCCATCCCTCTCCAGCCTCTTACATACAGAGGCCAAGGACACCATTTTATCCCCTGGCTAATAGCCTTTTATGGACCTAACCTCCATGAAATTATCTAGCTTCTCTTTAAACTCTATTATAGTCCTAGCCTTCACAGCCTCCTCTGGCAAGGAGTTCCACAGGTTGACTACACGCTGTGTGATGAATAGAGATGTGGGCACTGAGGCATCCTAAGCTCCTCCTCTGTGGAGAATGGTGCTGGCCCCGGCCATTGCAGTGCCATTGGAGCTGGGGTGGAACTATAGCCGCAATCTGTGGTGCGGACACAGCCTGCAGTGCCAATGGTGCCGAGTAAAGAGTTTGTAGCTCTTCGGTGCTGGAGGCGACATAGGTGCCGACAGTACCAAGTGTGGCTTCACCTTCTTTGGTGCCGGTGGTGCCCCGGCGGCAGTCGGCTTGATTTTTTCTTTTCTCGGTGCTGGCATATGCACCGTCGGTGCCGATTTTGCCTTGGCCTTGCTTGGAGGCTTGGCAGGCTTATGTAGGTCCTTTGACCCTCAGGAACCATTGGTACCTGATGGTCCCAGAGCATCCCTGTCCAGAACCCTGGAAGGTGTTGGAGCAGGGGGCAATTTAGGCGCTTGCTCCCATATTTCTGAGGGAGAGTCACTGTTGCTGGCAGAATGGGACCTCTTCCTGATCTGGTCAGAGGAAGAGTCCCTCATGGAGATGCTGGACAATGTGGACTTTTCAGACATGGCCAGGGGTGACGGTTGGTGTGGGGGGAATGAGTGCTCCGGGTCCAAAGCTGGTTTCACCATGTTCTCTAATGAGAGAAGTTTCAATTGGAGCTCCCGTGCCTTTCTTGTGTGGGCTGTAAGTTGTTTGCAATGCTCGCACTGTGCGTGTAGTCCAGGCAGCGCATACACTTGGCATGACCGTCGGAGACTGGAAGAGACAGCCCGCAGGAAAGGCAGCGTTTGAAAGCAGTGGAGCCAGGCGTTCCCAGGATAGCAGAACTGTTAGAAACAATCTGTAGTCTAACGGAATTTTTTTTAACTCTTATAGGAAAGAAATCTAAACTCTAACTACTAACTGAACTAACTCCCTGTAACAGGAATGCTATCAAAACTAGTAAGCGAAAAAGGAGAGCAACTGCGGTTCTGACTGACGCTGATGGCAGTAGAGAAGGAACTGAAGGGATGGTTGCTGCACATGCATGGTAGCAGCACCGTGTGTCCCATCTGCTGTGCATGCGTGGCACACCGGAGGGCACTGCTACTGAAAATCTCTGTCCGGACACACAGTGGCGCTGCAAGAGCTAGAGGTGGAGCACCGACACGGACACTCAGATTAGTAAGACATGATTTCTCTTTACAGAAACCATGTTGACTTTTGTCCAGCAAATTATGTTCTTCTACATGCTTCATAATTTTATTCTTTACTATTGTTTTGAGTAATTTGCCTGGTACCGAAGTTAGTCTGTAATTGCCAGGATCGCCTCTAGAGCCCTTTTTAAATATTGGTGTCATGTTGGCTACCTTCCAGTCATCAGGTACGGAAGCCGATTTAAAGGATAGGTTACAAACCACAGATAATAGCTCAGCAATTTCCCATTTGAGTTCTTTTAGAACCCTTGGATGAATGCCATCCGGTCCCGGAGATTTGTTAACATTAAGTTTTTCTATTTGTTCCAAAACCTCCTCTAATGACACTTCAATCCGGGACAGTTCCTCAGATTCATCACCCAAAAAGGACGGTGCAGATTCGGGAATCTCCCCAACGTCCTTAGCCGTGAAGACTGAAGCAAAGAAATCATGTAGTTTCTCCGCAATGGCTTTATCGTCCTTGATTGCTCCTTTTATAGCTCGATCATCTAGGGGACCCACAGGTTTTTTAGCAGGCTTCCTGCTTCTAATGTACTTAAAAAACATTTTGTTATTTCTTTTTGAGTTTTTGGCTAGCTGTTCCTCAAAATCTTTTTTTGCTTTTCTTATTACATTTTTACACTTGATTTGACAGTGTTTATGTTCCTTTCTATTTATCTCACTAGGATTGGACTTCCACTTCTTAAAAGATACCTTTTTGTCCCTCACTGCTTCTTTTACATGGTGGCTAAGCCACGGTGACTCTTTTTTAGGTCTCTTGCTATGTTTTTTAATTTGGGGTATACATTTATGTTGGGCCTCTATTATGGTGTCTTTAAAAAATTTCCATGCAGCTTTCAGGGATTTGGCTCTAGTCACTGTGCCTTTTAATTTCTGTTTAACTAACCTCCTCATTTTTGCGTAATTCCCCTTTTTGAAATTAAATGCCAGGGTGCTGGACTGCTGAGGTGTTCTTCCCACTACAGGAATGTTGAATGTTACTATATTATGGTCACTATTCCCAAGCGGTCTGGTAATGGTTATATCCTGGACCTGATCCTGCACTCCACTCAGGACTAAATCGAGAATTGCCTGTCCCCTTGTGGGTTCCTGCACTAGCTGCTCCAAGAAGCAGTCATTTAAGCCATTGAGAAATTTTATCTCCGCTTCTCTTCCTGAGGTGACATGTATCCAGTGGGGGTTATTAAATATGGGGATAATTAAAATCCCCCATTATTATAGAGTTCTTTATTTTGGTAGCCTCTCTAATCTCTCTCAGCATTTCAATGTCAGTATCACTGTCCTGTTCAGGTGGTCGGTAATATATCCCTACTGCTAATTTCTTATTATTGGAGCATGGAATTACTATCCATAGCGATTCTATTGAACATGTTGATTCACTTAATATTTTTATTTCATTTGATTCTACATTATCTTTCACATACAGAGCCCCTCCGCCACCCACCCAGCCTGCTCTATCCTTTCGATATATTTTATATCCTGGTATGATTGTGTCCCACAGATTTTCCTCATTCCACCAGGTTTCAGTGATGCCTATTATGTCAATCTCCTCATTTAATACGAGGTACTCTAGTTCACCCATCTTATTAGTCAGACTCCTAGCATTTGTGTACAAGCACTTTAGAAATTTGCCACTGGCTATTTGTCTGCCTTTCCCTGATGCATTGGATTCCTTTGTATGCGGTTGTTTGTCTGCTCTGGCCCATGGTTTGCCCTCTCCCCTCCTCTCTTTCTGACTACAGCTTAGAGAATCTCTATCAATGGATTCTCCTCTAAGAGAAGTCTCCTTCCGATTTACGGGCATCTCCGCACCAATCGGCTTTCCTCCATCTCTTAGTTTAAAAACTCCTCTACGGCCTTTTTAATGTTTAGTGCCAGCAGTCTGGTTCCACCCTCTGAGCTCCCTCTTCTCCACATGAGTCTCCCTGTCAGTCAGTATCCTCTCTGGCCCCTGCAGGTGCTATTACTCTTGTCTTTTTCATTCACATGGTCGCCTCCCCCCTCCCTTCCTCAGGTGCTGATCGTTTCTATGATAACATTGAAGACATGATTGGTTACCGGCCGTGGCCTGTCATCAAATACTGCTGGCTCTTCATCACGCCAGCTGTGTGCCTGGTGAGAGCATGGAGGCTGTTGGTCTTGGGGGCCTGAGAGAGGAGTGTCTCAGGGTAGGGTGGGGTTGGTTTAGGTTGCTGTGGGAGTAGGGGAAATGGATAGTCCCGGGACCCCTGTTTTGGGGACACACTGAGTAGGGAGTAAGCACGTTCCCATGGAGCGGGCAAGGTGGTAATGGCTCACTGGCTGAGTGTGGTCATCAGGGAAGATAAGAGTCTGACTGCTCCTGCCACCAGCTGCAGTGTCTCTACACAACTACGGCAGCACGTCTGAGCCTGGGTCTGCAGATTCAGGCTCGGGCTACGGCACTAAAAAAAGCTGTGTGGTCATTTGGGCTGGGGCTGGGGCTCGGGCTCCCATCTAAGCCTGAACGTCTGCACAGCTCTTTCTAGTGCTATGGAATGAGCCCGCTTCTGTGGACCCGGGCTCTGGGACTCGTGGCTACAGGTTTCTGTGGCCGGGTGAGAAGTCCTAGTGAGCAGACTCCTTTAGCTCACGAGACCTGGGGTTTGGAAGCCAGTGGTTCTCACCCTGCTGCTGCGTGTGAGCTCTGATCACCAGGGGCATGTGTGAGCGGGGATGAAATAGCTGGGGTAAGGAACAGATCACCAGTGACTGCTGCTAGGACAAGCTCTTGGCTGAGGGGTGGCAGCACCACGCTGGTCTGATTTGCTCTGGCTGTTGCCCCTACGGGGTCTGTCTGCCCCAGGAAGACCTGATGAGGGTGTGAAGTCAGAAGGGAAATCCTGTTAGTTAATGACATTGCTTCCCTCTTCCTCTGATCTTGGCTTCTTCCACCTCCCCAGGCCACCTTCTTGTTTTCTCTGATTAAATATACCCCTCTGACCTACAACAAGAAGTATGTGTACCCGTGGTGGGGAGACACCCTGGGCTGGCTGCTGGCCCTCTCGTCCATGGTCTGCATCCCTCTCTGGATTGTCTACAAGCTCTCCACGATCAAGGGCTCCCTGAGAGAGGTGAGGCTGCTGCTTCCTGAGGAGGGTATGGGACAAAGAGGGGCGGATGGAGGCCTCACAGGTCACTGGCTTATTGAAATGACAGCTCCTTGGGGTGTGACTGACGGGTATGTTGTGGGTTAATAAACAGGAACCTAGAATTAAGTCACTGAAGCTCAGTCTATTACTATAAAAAATTAGTGGCTTTATTGAATTCAAGCTGGCTGGAGGGCTACAGAGCAGTCGCTGCCTTCCAGTGCCTTGCAGTTCTTGGCGCGCTCTTATTTGTCAAATGCCATAGGAAAATGGTGGTGTGGGAAGTGCTGGTAAGAGACGAAGTGCCGGTCAAACACACTGGAGTTTCCCAGATAGATGCAGGCAGCCCACACACTCAAGTGGGGAGGTCTGACCTGAGGGGGCTATGGATCCTGGTATTTGATGCAGGCTAGGCTTCAAACTGGGACCTCTAGGTCCCTTGCTGAGTCTGCACCCCCTAGGAGTGGCCTTTGGCTACGTACAGCTCTGCTTGTGCAGAAGCAATGGCTGGGTGTTGCTGCTCTCAAGCATTGTGGAGGGCTCTGGTCTGCATTGGAAACACGTGCTGGATGGCTCAGGTGTAAAAACCGGGGTCAGGATGTGGGATGCTGACGTTGTTGTGGCGGGATCACAGTGCTGGTCAGGAAAGTGGAAGGGAATTTTCCGAGGGTCTCATACAAGCCCTGGGCATTCCCAGATGCTGTCAACAGCTAAGGTGGTTTTCAACTATTGTTTACATTGTTATATCTGAATGTGGGAACGGGGGCTCTTCTAGGGCATGCCTGGCCCTGAGGAGCTGGTGTTGCAGCAGGGGAGGGTGTAGGTGTCATGAGCTGGGACTCATTCAGCCTGAGATCCAGATGTGATTACCAAACTCCTCCCTGCCTCTTCCCTCCATGCTGCCCTTGCTGGAGGGCTGCTTCGAAAGGGGCTGTTTGGGGGGGGGGGGTAGGCCAGTGGGTGGGAGGAGGCTTGTGAGTGAGCCAGATCCTTCCCGACACAGCTCTGTCCTACATCTGACTTTTCTCTTTCAGAGGTTCCACCACTTGGTCTGCCCGGATGAGGACTTGCCTTTCAGTCTAGGTGTAGGACAGGCCCTGCCTTCCACTCGATCGGGCCTCCTGATGCTGACAGAGCTAGAGTCCCACTGCTAGGGCCACCGCGCCCTCCCCCCCCCCGGCTTGTTTGATGCATCCCGTCTCGCTGTCGGATGACTCGAGGATTCTCCATTTCCCGAGGGGAGCAGGACTTGTGAGCTGATCTCTCTTCCCCTGGAGGATTTGATGGGCTCATCTGGGGCTGCCATAGAAGGGTCTCCGTGGTCAGTGTGGAGTCAGCGATGCACCTTATTTGCCTCCTGGGGAGCACATACTGGAGCTGATTAAAACAGCTGAGCGTACCCAGTGCTCCAGAAGATAGGACAGGAGAGACTCAGCCCTGGAGCGGAGATGGTCGAAGGTCACAGAGACTTAGAGGACCTCTCCGTTCATTCCATTAAATCCTTTATCTTGTCTCTCCTGAGTGGCACGGCCTCGGTTTTGTCTCTCTTGATTTTTCTTTGTAAAGGAACTCTCCTCATCATTGCTCCTGGAAGTGCTGCATTTTTCCAGAGCTACCCAAAGCTTAATCGGTCAGGACCATCCTTCTGGGCCAGGGCTATGGGTATTTTGGTGGCTCAAGAAGTCAAATAATTGTCGGTGGTGGTGGAGGTGGCTAGTCTAAAGGGGAAGTCACACCAAATTGTAACTTCCCCTCACTAATCTCCCAGAATTAAAGAAATATTGTACACCAGCGTTTTTTAAACTGTGTTCCGTGGCGCGCTGGTGTGCTGCGAGGCAGTCGGAGGTGTGCCACGGAGAACAACAGAATTCAAAATGGCCCCTCTTAAAGGGGCAGGTGATCTTTTTTCCCCTCAATAACTTTCCCCTGACCCTTTTTTCCCCCTCAATAACTGTCCTCCTGACCCATCCCCCCCCTTTCTTTTGGTCAACAAAAAATCCTTGGTGTTCCTCATTAAAAAAATATAGTTTGGTATTCCTCGGTCTTAAAAAGTTTAAGAAACACTGTTGTACACTGTTATTCCTTTTTGACCTGAGTGATTAGCCAAATTTAGAGCTAAGAGGAGAAACTTACGATGGAATTAGGTATTTCATAGAATACTATTTCTTGGGTTATGAGGAGAAGCTGGGGCGGGAGTCAGGCAATGACTACACAAAATCCCGTTTCTCTGACCACAGTAGGAGCTAAATAAGAGACTGTGTCTTTACTCACAGTTCCGAGCCTCAGCTTAGAGCCCGACAACTCTCTCTGTTTTTTTTTAAGGGCCCTCTTCCAGTGCTTATCCTGACTCTGTCCTTGCTGGGATTCTCCCTGCTTCTCTGCCTTTTTGTGTCTCTTCCACAGACACACACCCCTCAAAATGCAATGTAGCAGAACCTCTCCCCCCACAAATGCCTTGGCTGTGCCAGTGTTGTGGATGGAAGCTTTTCTTGCTTCAGCTACCTGCTTCCACATAAGAGCCTAAATGGTTTTCATAACTATTTTAAATGAAGGTTGCATCCAACCTATCACATCCATCCCAAAGAGGGACCCACGGAGACCTCTTCCTTCATCAGGCCCTGATCAGAGCTGGTCAATCCAAAGGAAAGTGGGAGCTCGCCTGTGCCAGTGTTGTGGATGGAAGCTTTTCTTGCTTCAGCTACCTGCTTCCACATAAGAGCCTAAATGGTTTTCATAACTATTTTAAATGAAGGTTGCATCCAACCTATCACATCCATCCCAAAGAGGGACCCACGGAGACCTCTTCCTTCATCAGGCCCTGATCAGAGCTGGTCAATCCAAAGGAAAGTGGGAGCTCGCATCTGTGACGCTGAAACTCTACAGCAGAGGTTGCTGCAAAGCAGGAAT